GCTCTCCCCTCGCCGACCTCCGGCTGACGCCCCCACCCCCTCGCTGACCTCTGGCTGCCGCTGCTGTTGCTCCTTCAGCTTGTCCTGTTTCTGCAGGAACTTCTCCATTTTCTCTCTCTTCAACGCCTCCTTCTTCAGCTGAGCAGGTGTCTTCTTCACCGCCGGCTCTTCCGGCGTTGGGGCCGGTTCCGGTTCCGGGGCCACCATATCCTGCTGCCCCTGCTGCCCTGCGCGACATTGGAGCAACACCTTCAGGGCAAAGTGGTGGGAGATGGCCCTTCAGCCCACCCATCCTGTTCCCCTGCACAGTCAGAATGCCACTGAACTCTGCACCTTTCTTCCATCTAACCACCTTCACCACCCAGAGCCCTTTCTGGAACAAAACTTGCTTGGAACGTTTCAACTAATACCACCCCACCTTGTGTGTTGGGAATTGGCTTCCAGGTTCCCAATTACCTGGAAGCAGAATCCTTGAACGTTTTCACAGCAGAGCGTCAATAAATTCTTGATCAGTAAGGGGATGTGATGATTGGGGATTGAGATTACAACCTGAGCAGTTGAGATCTTATTGAATGGCTGAGCAGGGCTCGAGGGGCTGAATGGCCTGCTCCTTTGCGCATTCTAACATTTCCCATCCCCCCTCGATCACCGAACCACTTGGTTCTAATATGAAGTTGAGGGCTGGGGAGTGGATGTTAGTGTCCCCGTCCCTACCCTTTGCTTTGTACCCTCCTGGCTGATGAAATAGTCTGTCTCTCACTGCGTTCCTACCTCTCCGTGAAATATTTCCAACCTCCTCCATCAGATCACCTCTCAATGCTCTACAATTGAGGGGCTCCCAGAGAGAGGGGATTTTACAGACAAGGCTTGGCTGGAGAATCCAAGACTGATCCCAGGGGAACAAGAGAGGCTGAGCCAGGTGCAGACAAAGAAAAGCCATAGAGTGATACAGCACAGAAACAGACCCTTTGGTCCAACCAGCCCAAGCTAACCATAATCCCAAACTAAACTAGTCCCACCTGCCTGCTCCTGGCCCATATCCCTCCAAACATTTCCTATTCACGTACTTATCCAAATGTCTTTTAAACGTTGTAATCATGTGCACATCCACCACTTCCTCTGGAAGTTCATTCCATACATGAACCACCCTCTGTAAAAAAAATTTGCCCCTCATGTCTTTTTTAAAATCTCTCTCCTCTCACCTTAAAAATATTCCGCTCGTCTTGAAATCCCCCACCCTAGAGAAACGACACCTACCATTAATCCTACCTTTACCCCTCATTATTTTATAAACCTCTATCAGGTCACCTCTCAACCTCCTGTGCTCCAGTGAAAAAAGTCTCAGCCTTCCTTTATAACCCGAACCTTCCATACCCGACATGCTGCTGGTAAGTCTCTTCTGAACCTTCTCCAGCTTATTAACATCCTTCCTACAACAGAGAGACCAGAACTCCACACAGTGCTCCAGAAGAGGCCTCACCAACGTCCTGTACAACCTCAACATGACGTCCCGACTCCTATACTTAAAGGACTGAACAATGAAGGCTAGCGTGCCAAATGCCTTTTTAAACCACTGGCTATCAGTATAAGGACAAGAGGACATGGGTTTAAGATTCTGGGGACAGGAAGTGGGGTGTGGGTGGGGGGTACATGCAGGAACGTGAGCGAGAATTTTCCTGCTTTTAATGAACAGAGTGAGTTGTAAAGACACGGAACTCTGCCCTCAGGGAGGGCTAAGAAAGCACAGACTAGGATTAGTTTAAAGCCAGGAAAGTCGATGAGCAGTTTTTTTTTATTCATTCACGGGGTAAGCGTCACTGGCCAGGACAGCATTTATTGCCCATCCCTAATTGCCCAGGAGGCAGTTAAGAGTCAACCACATTGCTGTGGGTCTGGAGTCACATGTCGGCCAGACCAGGTAAGGATGGCAGTTTCCTTCCCTGAAGGACATTAGTGAACCAGATGGGTTTTTCCGACAATCAACAACGGATTCACGGTCATCATTAGATTCTTAATTCTACAAATTTATTGAATTCAAATTCCACCATCTGCCGTGGCGGGATTCGAACCTGGGTCCCCGGAACGTTACCTGCGTCTCTGGATTAACAGTCCAGCAAAAATACCGCTAGGCCATCGCTTCCCCTAGTGCAGTGAAATAAACTGGCAGGGTTATGGACGGGGATAAAGTGAGCACGCACTCGGCTGCTCTTCGGAGAGCCAGTATGGCCTCAGTGGGCCGAACGGCCACCTCCTCTGCTGTGATGAACTGTATGATGACGACGACGACCCTGTGCAATCTGTTTGGGAATCTGCAATGGTGCCAGCTCCTCCCCAACCCCCCTCAATGTAATTGTGGCTTTCATGGTGCCCCTCCCAGTGCATTCCCCACCCCCCCAACCCCACCCCTCTCCCCCTCTGCACCTGTACACTGCTCACCGGCCCCAGGGACGATCCGCTCACACAGCGTCACCTCTCCCAGTGCTTGGACAAACTCAGGCTGGTTCACGCAGGTCAGGAACCAACGGTTCACGTTAACGTAGGGTTTCCTGAAGTGCGGCTCGAAGACCTGCAGAGAAACAAACAGAATGTCTCAGTCTCTCCGGCCCTCCCGCGTTCCAAACATTCCATAATTACACATCAAGCTCAACATCCCGTCATGGGAAAGACATGGCTCATGCGAGGAAGGTGGGAAGTTTGAGGGGTTTAACGTTTCTCCCAGGAAGGCCCTTATATCTAAAGGAAGCGACACATGCTGGAGGTCACTGCGGGTCAGGCAGCATCCATGGAGGGAGAGAGGGCGCGAGTGGGCACGAGCGGGGGGGGGGGGGGGGGGGGGGGTGAACGAGAGGGCGGGAACGAGCGAGAGGGCAGGGGCGAGTGAGGAGTGGAGGGCGAGCGAGCGAGGGACAGAGCGAGCGAGGGAGACAGAATGAGCTAATGTTTCCAGTTTAGCTGACTCTTCATCAAAGCTGACAATGAAGACTCATCTAGGCTTGAAATATTAGCTTGCTCTCTCTCTCTCTCTCTCTCTCTCTCCACAGATGCTGCCTGAGCCGCTGTGATGTCCAGCATTTGTTGGTTTAGTACAGATTCCAGCATCTATTTGCTCCTATTTATCGAAGGAAAGATAGACCGGCATCAGAGACAGTCCAGGGAAGGTTCGCTCAGCTGATCCTGGGGATGGACTGACTGCCTTAAGCATGAGTAGGTTGGGGGCCTGTATTCACTGGAGGGGACCTTACTGAAAAATTCTGAGGGGCTTGACAGGGAGATGTGGAGAGGGTGTTTCCCCTTGTGTGGGAGAGTCTAGCACCAGAGGGGCATCATCTCAGAGATCAGAGATGAGGAGGTATTTTTTCTTTCCGAGGGGAGCGAATGTGTGGAATGTGCAGGGGGCTATTGAGGCTGGGTCATTCGGTATATTTGGGACTGAAATGGAGAGATTTTTAATCAGTAAGGGAATCAAGGGTTAGGTGGAAAAGGCAGGAAGTGGAGTTGAGAATGATCGAATTAGCAACGATCTCACCGAATGGTGCAGCAGGCTCGATGGGCTGAATGGCCTACTTTTGCTCCTGTGTTTTATGGCCCTGTTGGTGCCATGGGTAGACTAGATCATCGACAATGCTTAAGTGAATGTGAAGGGGCACCGACAGCAAGCCACAAGGTGTGGGGGACCTCAATGCAGTGCCAAAGGGTTTGCTTTATGATCTACGGTCTCGGGTCCCTCTCCGTCTCAAAACACAAGAGAGATGACAGGTGAAGCATGCCCACAAGCAGTCGGGGGCTTCACCTTGATTCGTCAACACAGGCGTCACCAAGACTGGGATGGAGCAGCTCCCTGCTGTACCTTGTCGCGGGGGTTAAGAGCTGCATACGTACGTGTTTGTAGGGCAGCAGCAAGGAGCAGCTGACGGCAATATCTGCCAAGGTGACTCCCTCCCCGACCAAGTAGGTTCGCAGCTTCAGGTGGTCATCGAGAAGTCGCAGGATTTTCTTCAGGTCCAGCTGGGCTCTTTCAACGGCCTGTGGAGCAACAGAAAGGGGAGAGGGGGGAAAGAGAGGAGTGGGAGAAGCATTAATCGCCAGCCCAGTGAGTTGGGGGGGGGAAGGGGGCTCGATCTACTTCAAGTCTTATGCAAACAGGAGCCAGTCATATTGTTGCTGGTAAGCAGAAGGCCGTTGTCCTCAGGAACTGGTTACTAATCCACAAGCCAATCAGCCACTTGTCACCAGAAAAATACACATTCGTACATACCCCTCGGTTCCAGTTCGTCTGCAAACCACACTTCCCCGGCTGCTTGTACAAGCAGCTGTGCAAACAGCAGCTCCAAGGGGTATTGGGTAACTTGCTTTTAAAACGTGCAGCAATCTTTCAACAATCCCCGGGCTTTTCCCATTTCATTCCAACGTTAAAAATACAAACCGAAAAAACAAAACAATATAGTCTTCACTGAGAGCAACTTGATTATTCCCACATTCCCCCACACTCCCCCCTGCGTTTTCCCCTTGGCCCTACAAAACCGGTTGTAGATGGGGCTGTTACTCGGAGGGGCCAGAGACCCATGGTTCAGCCTGTCCATTTCTAGTGAAGCCAAAAGTGCCTTTAAAAGAGTGGTAATAGAGAGCAGGCCAATATTCCTCTCTGAAACGTTCATGGAAACAAATTATGGGATCTTGCTGCGCACAAATTTACAGTTCAAAAAAAGGCGTTCATGGTCTGTGAACTGGTGCTATATCAATACAATTTGAATAGATTGAGAGATTGAGTAGACTGGGACTGTACTCATTGGAATTTAGAAGAATGAGGGGGGGGGATCTTATAGAAACATATAAAATTATGGAGGGAATAAATAAGGCAGAAGCAGGGAGGTTGTTTCCATGGGTGGATGAAACTAGAACGAGGGAGCATAGCCTCAAAATAAGGGAGGAGCAGATTTAGGACTGAGCTGAGGAACCTCTTCACCCAAAGGTTTGTGAATCGGTGGAATTCCCTGCCCAGTGAAGCAGTTGAGGCTTCCTCATTGAATGTTTTTAAGGCAGAGACTTTTGAACAGTAAAGGAATTAAGGTTATGGTGAGTGGGTGGGCAAGTGGAGCTGAGTCTGTGTTAAGATCAGCCATGGTCTTATTGAATGGTGGAGCAGGACTGAGGGGCCGAATGGCCTACTCCTGCTCCTGGATCTTATGTGACATAGATTTCAGACTCCCCACAGTGTACTGCTTAAGGAGATAAAGGCTGGAGGCCTGTAACCAGTGGTGTTCCGTAGGGATCGGCGCTCGGTCACTGTTCCTTCTCATTTCTATAAACAAACGGGATGAGAATCGAGGAAGAATGATTAGCAAGTTTGCGGTCACATCCAAAATAGTGGTGTAACATTTAAAAGATGAAGTCAGAAATCACACAACACCAGGTTACAGTCCTGCAGGTTTGTTTGACAACGCAAGCTTTCACAGCTTGAAGGAAGGGCTGAGGCTCCGAAAGCTTGTGTTTTCAAATAAACCCGTTGGACTATAACCTGGTGTCATGTGATTTCTGACCTCGTCCACCCCAGTCCAACACCAGAACCTCCACATCATTTAAAAGATATTTGGACAAGTACATGAATAGCAAAGGTTTAGAGGGATATGGGCCCAGTACAGACAAGAGGGACTGGTTGGTTGGCTGGCATAGACGAGATGGACCAAAGGGTCTGCTTCCGAGCTTTGTGACTCTACAACGGAAGTGAGCAGAAGTTGGGCCAAGGAGATGGTTTCTAAGGAGGCTCTTCACATGTTGAGGACCGGAGAGGTTCGAGGGAAGGACACCAGGGGTTCAAACAGCCTCAGCAACTGAAGGTTTGAAATCTCGAGTACGATCAGGAAGAGATCTCCCCGGTAACAGGGGCTAATATCTCGACCTCGGGCAAAATTGCTGATCTAATCATGATCACGGTGTTACGCCCAGGAGCCTGCAGAGGGTAAATTAGCCGGCGGCTTCGACGGTGCGCACAGAGGAGCGACGCGCAAGGAGTCAGAATTGGAGCAGGGCACCACAGGGAGCGATAATCCTGTCTTTGGGAAGAGGAGGAGAAGCAGGAATGAGATTCAAAAGACACAGGAAATGAGGGCAGGCCAGGGAAGCTGGGGATTTGCAAACACAAGATAAAGAGAAAAAGCGACAGCTTGTGGAAAACAGCTTTCCCTAAGGGCAGTACGGTGGCTCGGTGAGTAGCGCTGCTCCCTCACAGCACCAGGGACCTGGTTTCGATTCGAGTACTGGGTGAGGATGGTAGAGAAGGCCTTTAGCACACTTGCCTTCATTGTTCAGAATACTGAATATAGGTGTTGGGACATTATGTTGAGGTTGTACAGGACATCGGTGAGACCACTTTTGGAATATGGTGTGCCGTTCTTGGTTGCCCTGCTGTAAGAAGTATGTTATTCCTTCCAAATGTGTTTTTATGTGCAGTGCAGGCAGACCATATCGTACAAAGTACATTAGGGCAATAGTACAGAGCAAGGAATATAAAGTTACAGCTGCAGAGAAGGTGCACAAAGAGCGAGATCAACATTAAGAGGAGATAGTAGGAACTGCAGATGCTGGAGAATCCGACACAACAAGGTGCAGAGCTGGATGAACACAGCAGGCCCAGCAGCATCATAGGAGCAGAAAGGCTGACGTTTCGGGCCTAGACCCTTCATCAGAAATGTGACAGACTGGGCTGTGTTCACAATTCCCTGTAGTTTCTTACAGCCCTGGACAGAGCAGTTGCTGTACCAGGCCGTGATTCATTGAGATAGAATTCCTACTACGGTGCATCGATAAGAATTGCTAAGGCTCTTTATAGACACGCCAAAGTTAATGTATCCACGAAGAAGTGAGATATAGTTCTTGGGTCTAAAGGGATCAAAGTGTGTGGGGGAGAGAAAGCAGGAACAGGGGACTGAGTTGGACGCTCATACCGAATGGTGGAGCAGGCTGGAAGGGCCGAATGGCCTACTGCTGCTCCTATTTTCTATGTTTAATTGCGGAAAACGAAACAAAACAGTAAGAGAGAAAGCAGGCGATCGCTGTACCTTTTTGTTGTGCTTCATCAAGCCCAGCTCTGGGAAAACCCAAGCACAGGCCGGTTGAACGATTTCGCTGTCCGCCAAGTTTATCCACTGCTGTACCAAGGCAGAATCCTTGGCGCTGGAGCCCTTCATCCTGCCAGGGGCCAGGTAATGGGACACGGCCGCCGCTCCCTGGAGGCAGCGGTTGGAGTCGGCCTCCAAGGCCGGCAACCTGGACGTTGCCAGATGGCTGTGGGCGTCCCCCGCGGCTGGTCCTCGGACGTCCACCTGTCCCAATTCGGAGCGGCCGTACTCCAGCGTGACCAGCACCTTCGCATTCTGGAAGCTGTGGGGGTGCGGAGCGAGGTACAGCACAGGCTGGGCCATTCTGAGTGAGGCAGGGGTTAAACTGCAAAGGTACACACACACACAATCGGGGGATTAATCCTTTCAGACACCCGCACACGGCGTCAGTTCTCAATCACCCGCACCAACACTGCTCTGTCTGCATTCGTCCCATCCCCCAGCTTTTGGCCTGTAGCCTATCTTACGGGGAGAAAGCAGAAACAGGGGACCCAGTCGGATGATCGGCCGCGGTCATACCGAGTGGGGGAGCAAGCTGGAAGGGCTGAATGGCCTCCTCTGCCTCTGCTTTCTACCTGGCGACGGCAATCAAGCTGAATATCCAAATGCCACTCAAACGTGACATGAGATTGTGGCTCAAGCACGCATTCAGGCATCGAGTCCCACCAACTTCTGGACAAAAAGAATTCTCAACTCTTCCCTTTGCCTCCTACCTCTCACCTTCAGGCTATGTCCCCTCGTGGACCAAGTGCCTTCCCGTCTCTGCCCCTCCTAATCTTAGAGATAGAGATGATAATCAGGTCCCCGCTCAATCTCACTGCTCAAAAAAAAACAAACCCAGCCCATCCGATCCCTTCGGTGGGTTCTTTAGAGCAATATTTCCAGCCGACAAATAATATTAGATCTTTGTTAATGTGTTAATGCACGCCGAGGCGTTTCGCATCGATGAGACGAAAGAGAAACAACAAGGTCATTCTGCTGTGTGCAAAGAGATATTGGTGACCAGGTGAAAGTGGTTGTTGTTCTTTTTAGAAGGAGCGGAGGTTGTGAAGGAGAGGGAATTCCAGACGCGTGCACGCACACTCCAACCTATGGTGCAATATGGTAAAGCCAAGCCATCTCAGGTTTGATCCAATGTACAACGTACATATAAACCTGCTTCAGAGGGGCTTTTTTTTGGGACTTGATTTGATTTATTATGTACCCAAGTACAGTGAAAAGTTCTGTTCTGTGTGCAATACAGGCACATCATAACCTACAAAGATCGCAGGGTGATAGAACAGAGTGAGGAATAAAAAGTTACGGGTGCAGAGAAGGTGCACAGAGAGTGAAGTCAACATTAAATTTGAAATTTGAGGGGTTCATTCAGAATAACAGCGGGGAAGAAGCTGTTCTTGAACCTGTCAATGCATGTCTTTAAGTCAATATCCTTGAACAGGTTCATTAGAAAATAAATACTGCTCCACCGCCAACAGCATTTCAAAATGGGATAACACAGTGTGGAGCTGGATGAACACAGCAGGCCAGGCAGTATCAGATGAAGGGTGTAAACTGAAACGTCAGCTTTCCTGCTCCTCTGATATTGCCTGGCCTGCTGTGTTCATCCAGCTCTACACGGTGTTATACCTTGTTAATTTAACCATGTTTGCGGGGGGAGGAAAGAGAGAGAGAGCTGGTGGCTTGATGGTAATTTCACTGGATTGAAAATCCAAATGCACGGGCGACTAGGGTTCAAATCCACCTCCTTAATTTAAGTAAAATAATAGAAATCTTTATAAAAATGCAAAGAGGGGATGGTGGGGGTGGGGGATCTGTTGGCACTGTGGCAGTTTGAGACCAGAAAGTCTGGGTTCCAGGGTCCACCATCCGTGCAGATGTTTAAAGAGGAGCAAATGATTGCAGATGATGGAATCTGTAAACAACAAAAAAAAAGTGATACAACACGGATGGTATCCTTTTTCTGAAGAAGGGTCTAGACCCGAAACGTCAGCCTTCCTGCTCCTCTGATGCTGCTTGGCCTGCTGTGTTCATCCAGCTCTACACCTTGTTATCTCTGGTATTCACGTGGAGTGGGTAGGAAATCTGTGACCAGCAAATGGGACTGACTCTCCCAACAAGGCACTCAGTCCGAGGGGCAATTGGGGACCATGAAGAAAATAAAGAAGGTGGTGGGGGTGGTGGTGTTCTGCAGATAGATGTGAAAGAAGCAGACCCACAGCTTGATAAAGTACTTTAGCATGTGCTGCAAAGTTACAGCCGGTTGCATCAGCTCTCAGGGCGCAGAGAGGAAGGGAATGAAGAGGCAGAGATACACTCACCTCCCAGGGCCAGCAAGGAGCAATAAGCAAAATAAAAGCAGCGAAA